TCTTATATTGTTATATTGTTATATTCTTATACTTAAATTATTATTAATTATTATACTTATACTTATAATATTATATTATACTTATAATAACTTATATTATTATACTTATAAGTTATTATTAACTTATATGTTATATTATTCTAATATTAATATATTATTTAATGAAAAATGCATATAGAAAGTGATATTAATATTTCATTAATATATTTCTCAAATTTTAAAAATTATATAAGAAAATTGCAAAATAAATCCACCCTAAAAAATATTGAAACATCCAAAAAACTAAAGATTAACAAATATTTTTTGATCAATAAAAAATTACATCGAATTATTTCACGATCAATGAATAAATAAATATAATACATTCATAATTCATTACATGCGTTCCACATGATTGGCCAGTATTTTTTATTAATAACTCATTAATACGATTATTTTTGTTATTTTATATATATTTTTTTAAATTGTTCTGTATTCATATACAATAAAAAATAAAAATATTAATTGAGGATTTAATCAAATTTCATTTTTCAATTAGTTGAATGCAGAACTTATAAACAATTTAATTAAATTTCATTTCTTCAAAAGTACATCTTAGAAAAAATATACGTATATAAAAAATTGTGAATATAATAAAGAAGATTCTAGACAAAAATAACTGAAATGATAACTATTTCGTGAATTGCAAATTAAATAACAACAATTATCGATTCTGAAAATATAATATAAAATATAATTAAAGAAATATTATTTTTAACAAAAGATTTAAAAAACTTTATTAGTCAAAATCGATTAAAAATATCAAATATGAATAGATTCTAATAAAAGAGAGCAAGATTAAAACCAAAAAATTTATGTTGGAAGATGATTAATTTGTGCATATCCACATGATTGTGCGAAAGAGATTTGAACTACATTATAAGATTATTAAAAATTTACATTAGATTTGCAGTTTTTCAGAATCTTATCTCTATAATAATTAATAAATGTTTTTGAAATCAAGCTTAATAAGAATTTATCATTGAATATAATTAAAGAAAACTAATGAATGACTTATAAAAGATTGAATTGATTTATATAAGTGAAAGTCATTTTTATATTGAAAACACAAAATGATTCTAATCTGAAAAGATAAAATTCAGTTAGTTCAGATTCGAGAAAATACTATTGTTGTAAAAAAATATAAAACAAAAAAGCAAAAAAAAAAAAAAAAAACAAAAGATAAATA